ATATCGGTGAGTTATTTTAATGAAATGGCCGATGTCCAATATTTAACTTTATTGCTAATATCAGCCGATACTGATACCATGCTGATAATATTGTGCATCCATAAGCGAGGGACTCGTGTACTGACAAAATGTCAATAAAAACCATGTGTATTGTGTGAGCTCAGAGGGAATGTTAACAATGACTCTCAACCAGAACCAGATTAGAGCTCATTATCTGTAAAACTGACCGACGTAGACCCATTGGGTTTAGGGTCAGCTGGCCGTTAGCAGCCATCTTCTGTTGGGTTCACTCCAAAAGCTAAGTTTTGTTAAAAGTAAACAGTTGATTCATGGGATATTTTGCTAACACAACAGACCGGAAAAAACAATACTGCTCGTATCGTACTGCTTTCTCCCTTTGGCTGCGGTTAATATAACTTTTTTCTTAACATAAAATTTCAATTTAGTTAAAAATGAAGGACGTTTTTAAAAAAATCCTTCAATGTCTTCATCACATTTTCAAAACTAAAGGGTGAGGTGGCCAAAAACATGTCAAAGCAAAACATCTTTGTTGAAATATATTTTATTTTAAATGGTTGGAATATGTGCCCACATATTGAAAAGACCATCAAACTGTACAACATAAAACTCCTGTATGTAACGTCACATGTTAACATGTCAACCTGCATACATTCTGCTGTGCTCATGCAGGTTATTCATTTAACGTCTTCCTCTCACATCAAACACCTTCTAAACAACACATTCTTAGAATTTATCCATAAATAAAAGCCTTTATTTGCTCTTTAGAGCTGCAGATTTCATTGGTTACACACGACAATCAAAGAAGTTTATTTTAGCCTCTTAGATCTTCACATTTGCTTCACTTATGATGAAACTACATAATTTCACTTTTTGGCTACTCTTTGGTGTTTCTTGCACTAAAATGAGCTTTTTGTTTTATTATATATTTTCTGATCGCTTTAGGAGATTCACTAAATTGACTCACTTCTGTACAGAACATGATTTTTCTTTCTGAAGGACTTTTTGGTTATAATGCAATAAAATACACAAGTTATAGTTTATAAGATGAAGGTACAGCCTAAACTGATGAAAGCTTCATTTTTAAATTTGTGATCATTACTTAAAAGTGCTGGACAAAAACCAAAACATAAGAGGATATCAAACTAAACCAAAGAGAAATTGCATTTCCTGCAAAAATGCAGTGTGAATGCTTACTGCTGAAGAACCTGCAGAAAAACAGCTGAAATTAGCTAAAACATACTGAAATGAAGCTGAAGTGGAAGAACAAGTCTAAGTTAGCAGAAGAAAGCAGAAAGAACACATATTTGTTGGAGAAGGTTTAAATAAGCAGAAATGAGCACATGAGCAAATGAGCAAAAATGATGAAATTAGCAAAAGATAGCTGAAAAGTAGCTGAAAGGGCAGAAAGAAGCTTTAACTACCAACCAGAAAGAAGTGGAAGGAGCTGAAATGAGCTAAACAAATGTGGAATCAGCTGAAAAGGATAAATTTTGCACAAAACATCTAAAAAGTAGCTGAAAGAGCATAAAAAGCTGAAACTAGTAAAAAAAAAAAAAAAAAGCTGAAAAGAGCATAACAAGCTGAAATTAGCAGAAAGAAATTAATTAGGCTGAAAGTAGTAAAAATTACCACGAAAAAAAAAAATCCAAAAACAGCTGGAGTTACCTAAAAATGCAAAAAAGGTAGCTGAAAATTTAGAACAAGCTTAAATTAGCAGAAGAAAGCAGAAGGCACACGTTTGCGCTGTTAGGCTGAAAGAAGCAGAAATGAGCACAAAAAGTGGAAATTATTTAGAAGAAAAAAACCCAGCTGAAAAGTAGCTAAAAAAGCATAAAGAAGCTGAAATTACAAAAAGTGGAGCACATTTTTGTCGAATTAGGCTGAAAAATGTTGAAACGAGTGCAAATAATATGGAATCAGCTGAAAAAGTTCAAATTAGCATAAAACTGCTAAATATTAGCTGAAATAGCTGAAACTTGCAGAAATAAGTTGGAAGGAGTATAACAAGCTGAAATTAGCAGAAATAAATTAGAAGTACAAAATGTTGCAGTTAGCAGAAAGAAACTGAAAGGAGCAAAAACAGCTGAAATAAACAGCTGAAAGTAGCTGAAAAAAGTTTAAATTTGCACAAGGAAACTGAAAGAAGCTGAAGCAGAACAAAAAGTGAAAGGAGCAGTAAAAGGTTGTAAACACATCTAAACGTTTGAAAGATGTAAAATGAGCTCAGTTCATTTTCTATGAGAAAAAAAGTGCAGAAAAGGCTAAATATTAAAAAAAGCTAAAGCTGCACCAATATCAAGTCATAGCACCCTTCTCCTTAATGACCTGAATGTTTTAATATCTGATTTGTTGAAACAACACAAAAATTGTGGATCGAGAGCGATGCCGAAAAACATGCAGAAGAAAAATGGATCACAATAGAGTGAATGCTTCATAAACATCCACACTATTAAATTTAAAGTGATAGGGAGAGTTAAGTAGATCATTTTCTGTGAGGTTCAAAATGACGTGAATTATTGATTTAGTTGCTGCTTCTGACTCACCACTTGAAAGTTTTAATGTTGGCTTTTCAGACCTCCTGAGAAAAAAGGCTCCAGTTGAATACAGTTCAGAAACAAGATTTCACACATGAAGGTAGTGGAGGACAACCTCAACATCTTGACAGCAACAAGACCAACGAAGAAGCATCGCTCTGAAGAGCAAAACAACACAGACATATAGGAGTGGTCATCGAGGAGCTTTGTGCGCTCAGGCTGCCAAAAAGCACAAAATGGTCCTCAAACTAGAACCAGAGCGGTTTTCCTGGATCCAGTGGTTCTGGTATTGAACCAGGACCGTCTTTTTGGCAAAACATCTGACAACGTCAACCTGCTGAGGTAATAAATAACAACACTGGAAAAACAGGCACAGATACCGCTCACAGGAGTAAACCTGGACATTTACTTGAGGGCTGTCCTCAGCAAAGCTCAACCTTGTTTTGTAGTCTTGAGAGAAAGTTATTTATCATCTCTGATGCTTGGATTCGGGATCGTTTGCTTCATCGGGCTGTTGTGTTCACAGCATTTTAGGATTCTCCTGAAAGACATGGCGAAGCATCTGCTGCAGAAGATGTATGAAGCACCGTTTGGACTGAACGAAGGTTAATACTCTGGAAGGAAAACTCCTCGGTGTCGTGTGGCAGAAGTGATGGTAAATAAACAAATCTTCCATTAACTATGTAACAACCAGGGACTTTTTGCACCCCATTTCACTTGTGCCATGCTTCTCAACCCTACAGACAAAAGGTGTTCATGGGTTGGAGTCTAACATCCAGGTCCATCATGAGTGGACGGCAGGAGGACATCAGATGAGTCACTGCGTCTGCTGAGCTCGTCTCTCCTCCAGACAGCGACACACCCACATGGACACCACCTCGGCATTCCCATCATTATACTGCACAATGAAGGGATGATCCTGACAAAGACACACAGAGAGTTAATGGTTTCTATTGAAAACGGTGAGAAATGTGTGCTCTCCAGAAACAAAGAGGAGCTAAAATCACCAATAACAGGACTGAACATGAACAAAAAAGATACGCAACTGGCTAAAACTAGCTTGACCATACAGTAGTCCCTCACTACTTCACGGTTTGACTTTTGTGGACTCGCTCTTTCGTGTTTTTTCAACAATTGTCAACTTTCATATTACTCATGTGATTGGGACGGTACGGGATAAAAAGTTAACAAAAAAAAAAAAAAACTTCAAACAGGCGCCGCCATTTTATAGTTTTCTTTCAATAAGCCTATACTATAACGCCAAAGAACTACATTACCCAGAAGCCAACAGTGATTCTGGCTGCTGCTTTCTGCCGAAATAGAGGGAAAGATTTGATCAGATCCGAACCTGACTAAAAACGTTTGGTCCTTATTCACAGTGACTTTGGTGCTCAGTGGATACAGAGAGCCGTATGGAACGACTGGGAATTGGACCAGGACTACTTCCAGCCTCATTGGTCAATCTGAGTGCTGCTTGCCGGCCCATGAAGCCTCTCAAAAGAGTCTTGGTGCTCAACGGCTGCAGAGCCGATCAGAGCCGTTCCAAGGTTGGTGAGTACCCATACAAAATTTTGCAGTACTGTACAGTACATATACGTATGTTGTTAAAATGACGTAGGTTTAAAAGTTTAGAACATTGTAAGAGTGTGGGAAGGGTTTATAAAGCCTAAAATATTTAGACTTAATAAGATAAATATAGTGTTCCTACTTGGCAATTTTTCACCTATTGTGGGGGGTGTGGAACGTAACATAATCGAGGGACTAATGTATTTGTTTTTGTTTCAACCCAAACCTGCCCAGAGAAAAAATACAACAATTATACACAAAAGAAAAGGCCTCATCAGATTCACTTTCACCCTGAAATTACTTTACACACCGGAAGAACTATGTTCTCACATCAATCCTACTCATTATATAACCTTCAGTATGACTGGTACATAGTAAAAGATAAAAAAATATAAAAATAATGAGCTTTCTCATAAAAACAGAAAAATAAAAGAGCTATTCAATTACTTTCATCCACTCCACATTATCAGTTTTATTATCAAACAGATTGGATCCACGAAGATTATTATACCTTTGTGTAAAGTGCAGGAATTGGCATCACTCGTTTGTTTTAAACCATAAGTCACAAAGTGCTGATAAAATACAAATAAACTAAACAGGAACGTCATTAAACCCTGTTAAATATTAATGATCAACAGATTTAAAGTGATGGCTTTTCAAACGAACATCTTGAGTTTAATAATCTGTGGGAGTCAGAACAGGATGTTAAAAGTCATAAAAAAAGGTGGCAGTGATTTCTTTTTTTCCACAGTTAAAATAGAGAATTATGTGGTTTTTATTAGCCGAGCAAGTAAATCAAAACACGCTTCATCTTGCGACTGACAGCTCATAAAGCTGGTTAAATAGTGCCTGTGTGCACTCTGAAACAGAGACGTCACATGTGATACCTCATTCTGAATCACCGGACCCCTCTGCGCCTCCTTCCAGACCAGAGCCAGGGTCAAGGAGGTCACACAGGGGTCAGGGATGAAAGGGGAGGAGGTTGGAAATGAGACAAACCAACTAAAGCTAACAGGAATGTGATTTGAGTCGTCTAGATGTTCAATTAGAAGAGCAGCATCGTGACGAGGCCGTAAAAGGAACTTAACGTGATGTCAAACATCACTTCTGATGTTGAACCGTTCACATGTGAACAAGGAGATCCATCACATTTAAAAGACCAGTACTTATTTTGAGCTGGATCCTGCCGGAACAGGATCCAGGAACTCTCTTATTTTGACAGGGTGTGTTCCGGTAACCGTTTGCTTGGATCCGGTAACTCTCAGGCTTACTAATAATAAAGTTATGAACGAATGTGACTGTCTTGAATAAATAAAACTTATATTGGACATGTAAACTGAAAATATTTACATAAACACTCATTCTAAACATAACGGTCACTTAAGAGCTTCTTAATAAGAGCTGCCCCTTCAAGTAAGCATTTCCGCCTCTAACACTAAAAAAAATCTCCGTCCCTAAAAGTCCAAAGTCATCGCGCAATTTTATCAAAAGAAAAAAAATCTAAAATATAATTAAACAGCATAACTAAAATGCAAATCAGTTTGATAGTTTAAATGGGTCATTAATAAAATTTTGATTATTTATTAAAAATACAACAAGAGAAATGTTTGATGTGTATTATTCACGTTAAATATCAACACAACGGCACAAATTTGTCAAAAAAACAGCAATCAAAATGTTAAAAATACATTCCAATTTACTTTCATTTAAAAAAAGACTCATCCTTGTCCTTAGTTGGACAACCGTGAATTGAAGAACCTGAAAGAAGTGGCGATCGAGCGGTGAGGGCGAGTGCAGAGCTAACCAGGCAGTTGTACACAGGCAGAAGAGATGGATTCTGAACTGTCAAGTGTGTGTGTGTGGGGGGGTGTTAGGATGTAGAGCTGTCATTTCTAACCCGAACCCTGAGTCTGGCCCCACCCGATCCGTATCTGGACCGGGTCATAATAATGTACTTAATGTGTGGGCTGAGTTGGTGTCGGGCTTTTTATTGCGTCAGGGACGCGCACGGCTGACGATCCAATATATGCAAACATGGTTTGCCAAACTACACCTGCCACATGCAGCCATTTCACCGCACACTGACCAGCTGGTTGAAAGATGTAAAAAGTTGAGTTAAGCTTCAGATGGTCTACTGCCAGTGATCCATCAGCCCAAATGGACGCTCATTCAGCCGCTGCGCTCAGTGGACGCGCGCGGCCGATGACCCAAACAGGTGAGATCACAAAATATCCGACACGTCAGAGCAGAATGCAGGCAGAAGCAGGGGAAGCATTTAATGCACTTTGAGAGCTCCTCAGCTCTGATCTTCTGCCCCCTGAGCCGCGCACGTCCACCGACCGTTAACAATAGTCGTGGTATAAGCAGTCAAGAGCTTAATTAAAAATTGTCTTTTTTTTTTCCGGGTACTTCGGACCTGTAATTACTGTTAATTTGTCGGATCGGGTGAGGTTCGGAGATAATAGCTGCGGGCTGGGGCCGGGTCTGTTTGGATTATTTGGACCCAAGTGCAACTCTAGTAGGATGATTGACAGAAGCAGATTGTTTACAAATGTAGGTAAGCGTAGATGTTTAACAACTCGTTAAAATACACCAAAATGCAGGAAATCACATCTACAGTACTTTATTCAAAATTTTCTGGGGGAGGACCCCCCTCCTCCAACCCAGTGAGCCAGCAATTCCTAAAAACCTCAGCAGAGTTGTTAAAACCATGTCTAAAGTCATTTACCAACACTTTCTTCGAGAAGCTCAAACATCTCTTAAAACTGTAAGACTGACATGTTGCATAAAACCTTCCTGGGCTACAGAGGATGAACATGTTTTACTTTGGTTTTAGAAGAGTGAGGAATGCTATTTCCAATAAAATATCAAAAATAATTAGGCGAACCGAGTAAAGACATCAATTTAACCCAAAACAATGCATATTAAATTGCCATTTTTAATAACCTTATTTCATATTGATGCGGGACATAGTGTGGTATTTACAGTTATTTAATATATTATAACATCAGCTCTTATTATGAAGGGGAATGCACCAGAGGCTGGGCCAACATTCCACATAAAAGGCCTGGTTGCACATCGGGTTTTGTGGTTCAAAAATTTTTACAGGCTACATTTAAGTGTCTGCAGCTTCCTTCTTACTAACAAAACATCTGAGTAATTGTGTTCCTGGGCCAACAGGGTTTTCATCACTGCTTCTGTTGCGCAAGCAAGGTTCTGTTTGTAAATCCAGGGGTTTTGGTCTGATAAATACCTCTGGTTTAGACAGGAATGACTCTGGTTCAAACCATTAACAGCTAACCTGAGTGCTATATTTAAAAAAATAAACTAAAAGCACTTGTAAGTATGTGCTGCAGCCTGCCAGCCTATGTCACAAGCAAACATCATAAAAAAAGACTGACATTATAACTAAATGTATAATTTTTTTCCAACTAGAGTTAAAAGTGACAGAGGTGAGCAATGCTCTTACTTTTGGAGTCATTAAAACATCCTTCAGCAACAAACATTTTAAGACAAAGTGAGCTTCACTAAGTAGGACACAGTGATGGTGATGTTCCACTTTCTCCCTCCTGAGAGTCGTTTGGTCTATTTATGATCACAGCAGAAAATTAGTTTAAGAAAAATCACATTAAGAGTAAATATAAAGGAAAGACCCATTTCATTTGGTAGTCGTTTATCTCCACCTTCAACATTTACTTTCACCAATGAGCTTGAAATCACCACACAACTTTTATATTTGAACAATATAAATATGTATATAAAAAAAGATAACGCACTCAGCGCACCCCGATTGTGAACCAGCTGCACAGAGCGTTCAGAACTGGTATAAGCCCCATCAATCCTTTTGCCCTTCTAATGGGCAGCTAGGGTTAACACAGTCTGAGGTTAATTACTGTCATATCAGTGCGAGCGTGTGTGTCAGTACTACACACACACACTGCAGAGGCTGCTAGGGGACCCTACGAGCTGGACACTCGTGCCATCAATCATTTGTCTTTGTCTGCAGTGACGAAGTGAAACAAACATTAAGTGGAAAGTTCTGAGTGGTGCTTTTGAATTGAAGTTCTCCAACCTTTGCTCTAAAACTGAACCTTAACTAATCAGACCAGTGAAAGTCTGTTGACCAGCAGGTAGACACACAAGGCAAAGAGCCTGCTGGGTGGTGGCTGTAGCTGTCAGGGTACAGGTGCGATCAAAAGCTTCTTCAGTCCATGTGGTTCTGAACCAGTCATGTGCTAATATGAGAAACTCACTCCATTTACAGTAAGAAACAAGGAAAAATTGCATTTATGAATCTAGCTCGCATTGAAACCGTCTGATTAGAACTGGTAGACAACTGGAAAATGTAACTTA